TGTCGATTCTTTATTAAAATTATTCGCTGTGTATTTAAAAAAAAGGGGAAGGTTAGTATGAACTGGACGTTTCAGCTCAGAGTAAAATGCTTTAACAGCTCCAATAGCATTAAGTAAAATTGTATGTATTTCTAACAATTTGTCATGGTGACTGTTAATGCCATTCAGTAGCTGAATTAATGAACAGGTGTCAAATGGTAATTTTAGAGCCACGTGTGCTTACTTTTTTCGCTCCAGAAATACAAAAGTACTAGTGGTAAATTTTTTTAATTATGTCTCTGAAGTATTTCACCATGTTTGTGTGTGTTCTTTGCCATGATTATCATTAGTCTTGTTTAATGTATTTTAAACTTACATAACATTTTGTTTAGTGTTACCATTTTTTTCTTTAAACCCTGCATGGGTTTCAAGCAATGCACTTTCTGTGGGATTAAATTAGTTCCCAGCTGAAGGTATCACTAAAGGTACACACTTGAGCTGCACACGCGTTGCCTAATGGAAGGCGAACAGAAAACAATCCCTTGCAGCATGTTGCATCAGCTTTTTTCCTCCAACACTGATAAACAAATATGTTGTTACTAACAAAATAGAACTCTAATACAAATTAAAAAAAGGAAAAGTAGATTGTGTAATGTTGGTGTTCAGGTCTGTGTTTTCTGGTCTTCAAAGAGACATCTGTGTATGCTGAAACTACCTTTTTCCTTTTGCTTTATCATATCGGGTGTCTCTTTCTTTTTTTCTCTCCTGTCTGCTTGCAGTAGACAGTAAAGAAAAGTAAACTCAACCAAAATGTTTTTTAGGTGTAACCTGTGCAAGATAATTAGGTATTAATGGGTATTTTGTCATTTTAATGACTGTTAATTGTTTTTTTAAAAAACCACTTGCTGCTTGCTTTCTTCTTCACAACTGAATGGGGAAATAGTTTTGAACAACCAAGAGCATAATTTTCTCCATTTCTTCAAAACAAAAAAATCTACACGTGTGTGTCTGTGTGTGTGTGTAAATCATAAGTCCAACTGTTCATCTACATAAATACGTGTGAAAAGGGATTAACTTTCAAGAAGAAAATCAGAGATGTAGGGTAAGGGATTTGAAAACACTTTGCATCAACGCAACAGAAGTGAGTTAGCATTGTCAGTTATTACAGACATGATCTGGAATATGAGAGGACACCCTGACAGGCCCTGTCCAGTCTGAACTCTGCTGGTATGCAGGCTTATTTCATGTGGTGACAAAATACTTGGGCTTCTGGCCTCTCTTACTGAGAACTTAAGGGAGATATTTGTCAGTATTGCAAAGAGCGACTTGCTAGAGTACCTGGGCAGGCCTCCACTTACTGGAGGATTCTGTCATTGTTCCAGGGCTGCTAAGGCAGTGGAGGAGGACATGAGCTTGATTAGTGAGTCTGTTGTGGGAAATAAAACAGGGGAGCCCTGAATTTGGAAGGCTGAATTTGGATCAAGCCTGATTTAAGGTGGGGAAAAAGCTAGTCATGTATTCTGAAACGAGAGAGGCAAACCTAAGGAGGGTACTTGAAGGTGGATGGCCAGCTCAGCAGGGATTTGGGTGGGAGAAGGACCCTGTGGAATAAAGCTTCAAACTTGGAGAGCTGACCAGTTTCTTTCAGTGCCCTATTGCTTAACTAGTTGTTGTGGTCAGAAAGTAAGGAAATTTCCTCTCTGCTATGCTTTTTTCTTTTTTTTTTTTTTCTTGCTCTAAAATACCACTATCTCTGTTATGAAAACCTGGGTATAACTGTCACTGGCTCTAGGTACTGTCTGTAAGACTTGTCGGTTTGAAAACAAGCTGATTTTGCATGAAGATGTAAGCCAGTGCCACTATCAAAGCTCTGTAATGAATAATCACAGCGCTAAACTCCAAGGTCTGTATGAAGTAATACAGATGCTCTAGCTTCCAGATTGATTTTTCATCTTGCTTTTTTGAGCTACCCTATGTTGACTGCTATAAAATCCTTTTTTCATCTCTCCCTTTGGTTCTGTGGCATCAAACAAAAGTGTCTCATCTTTAAACAGGCACTTGTGAAGGGAGTACCTGAAAAAGGGGAGATTGGTCAGCAATAGTATTTTGCTTCTGAAATGTATCAAGTAGCTTTTAATTTACTTCATTATTTTAAAAAATTCTGTAATCCATGGCCTGTCATGATCGAGTCACTGATAAAATAACACTATGGGATCAGAGGGAGAGCGAGCCACTAACAGAAGAGGGAAGGGCATGGATTTTGATAGCTCTCTGCTTGCTGTGATCTCAAGCAGGGGTCAAACTGTGTTGGGAGAAATTCTAGTAATTCTCGTCTTAGGTTGGTAAGATTGGTGTTGATGTTGGATTGTGACCTTGCAGTCGCATAAGCATCTGGTTTTGAGTATTTCTCCATGGTTTTGGGTTTGGTTTTGGTTTGGGTTTTTTGGTTTTGTTGGGTGTTTTTTTTTTGGTGTGTTTTTTGGGGTTTTTTGTGTAAATTGGCATAAAGCTAACTTAGTCTTTAAAGTCTCATGCTTGTAAGGGTAAGAATCTTTGGTCTCTTTCAAATGGAAAAGTTTTAATCTAACCCAGACATTAAATATTTATAAAATGGATGATTTGTAAGTGGTGGTGTTACAGCACTTCAGGCTTAAGCAGGTAAGAGTAGGCATGGTTTGTTATAAAGCTTTTGAACATTTGGTCTTTTGTTTTCTAAATGTGGTTAGTAATTTCACAACTGCTAGAAGAATGCGGTCTGGAAACAAGTGAGGAAGGATAATACTAAAAACCGGTTGTTTGCCCTGTACGGGCAGAGGTACTGTTGTGAATTCCGACTCAGCCCATCCTCTGTGTGTCTTTTTCTGTAAAATACTGTATGCTCAAAAACTGAATGCCCAAAACCACTTTTCCTTTTTTCATACTGTAGTAGCTGAGTAATTTAATATGTGTTTTGAGTTGAGCTCATGTAATACCTTTGCCCTTGAACTCTTGCTTGCAAAGGTGTTTCTCTCACTCGCCATGTCTGATCAGGTGTCCATGAATTACCACTGTAGGAAGAAAGTTACGTTTGTGTGGAGTGATGTTTGGTAACAAAACCGTCTGTTTTTTTCTGTTTTACATATTTTTGTTACCTCTGCAGTTTTGCAAGCCACAAGACTGAAACAATTAACCCTGGCTTTGTGTGTGCATTGTCTTAGCTGGTTACAGAACAGGTTTGTGTTTTAGTTTTCACGACTAATGTGACAAGTATAGTACTCTGTGAGCTGATGGCGAGGGGATGTGTTGCTCAACACTTCAGAGACCCCATCTTATCTGGAAATCCAGAGGGTTTAATTCTTAAACAGATGAAGTTTGGAATAGGTCAGTCGTCTTCTTGAATCATTTCTCAACAGACACCAATCTAGGCTTCTGTTCACATCACAGAACTCATAATGTTATTGGCTTCTCATGAGACAACTGATTTTTAACTCTTGAGTGGTTTTTGTTTTGTTGAGCACCTGGTTTTATTTCCTTGTTTAATTGAGAACAATTAGTGATGAGGGTGTGATTATTTCATGGGGTGTCACTTCAGGATTTTAAAGGGTAGTTCATTATAGTTAAAGGGTCAGTGCTGGTGGGAATTATTTTGAATATTATCTGTGTATTATCAAGTTGATGTGTAGCTCTGTCCTTTTATAAATATAAAGCAAGCTGGTCATCTTACGTGGTTAGGCTGGCAGAATAATAGTGGGGCAAGGGAAGAGCAAGTATTACATTGCTCTTGAATCTCTTATTTGTTTAGCTTTTTCTGCTATAGGCTTTTTAGAGGTAGCTGGGGATGAGGGAACTATCTTGTACTAGCTTAGTTTACGCTGGTATGGAAATGTCCAAGGTAAACTAATTATTCAAGTGGTATAAACCCAGTAGAATTATTTTCTGCCAGATGTTTTTCTAGTGGTAATGTGTATAAGGAGGAAACCAATTGTTTCCTTTGTTCTGTTTTTGTTCGTTTGTTTTGTGGGTTTTTTTGTGGTTTTTGTCTTTTTTTTTTTTTTTTAAGAGGTTGAAACTGAGGCTTTGGTGTTATTCTTCAACTAAAAATTAACATCTTTTCTTAGGAGATACCTGTAATGAAACTCATGCTGATGAAATTAGTACAGTAAAAAACAATGCTCAGAGAAGAAAGGTGTATGTAGTCTGCTTAAAACTTCCTCTTAATTTGACTTTCAAGTTTTTCAGTTACTTTTGAATGACTTGAAATGTTCATTAAGCTTAATTAATCTTAAGCTCATTAAGTTTCTATTCCTTCAGTGCCAAATATGTTATGTGATATTTAAAAGGAAATAAATCCTTGTTAATTGGTTTACTTAATATTTAAGAAAATTCTGTGAAAATTAAGTATGTTAAGTTATGCAAAAAAGTCAGCATATATCTTAAATATTTCAATACCATGTCACTTTCTATATAATTTTAAGTACTGAATAGAAGGGTAGTAATCCTGGCTAATTAAAAAAACCACAATTTAAAATATATGATATTTTCTCATTTGATTTTGCTCTTTACTAGTGACAGCATAAATAATAAGTAAAAACCTACCTTTGTGTAGTGTGATAAATATCAAATGATATATCTTACTGGGTTTGGATAAAGAACTTCATATGACATTTGAGTTACTAATATTTCAATAGAGGGCATTCACGTGCTTTGAGGTAACACCAAATCACTGTGTTTTTAAAGGTGCTTGGAATAAACTGGAGCTGAAGATAAAAAATTTTGTGGGTTAAAATATATTTATGTATTTTGATAGTGCTTGGGAAAATTGGTCAATGCCATAGTAACACTTAACAATTAGGAGAAACGTGAAATGAAATTTTCTTTCTTTCTTTGGATATTTTACAGTACCTTGAGGCAATGGATTCATTTTGCCTTGAAGTGATTCTAATTAGATGCATTATTATGGTTTTCTAGCTGAGTTGCTGTTAGTCTGTTAGATTTAACAGTTGTAATAATGAATCCAAATTTAATAAATATGTTCTTTACAGCTAAAAAAGCAGTAGAAGAATCAGAAGAAAAGAAAGCAGCTCAGTCAAAGAAAAAGATTAAAGAATTAAGAATTTTGGATGGAAAAACAGCACAAAACTTATGTAAGTGATGTCAGATGCATTAGGTGAATATCTAATTAGTATGTACACATGACTGTTCTGAAATGTTTTATTTCTTTTTTGTTTACATGTTCATATTTTTTGTCTAAAAATGGCTAATGTGAACATGAGTCTTAAGTTTGGAAGTGTTCTACCTACATATGATTTGAAATCACTATACAACTTGGGAAAACTTCAAGTAACGTGGAAAATTGATGTAGACTTAAATGTTAATGAACTGTATTTGTATTTTTTTTTTGTAGCAAAAAGTTGATTCTTTCATTAATTGCTTTAGACTGGAAGTGTAAGGAAAGGCACAGCATTGGTTAATTTTGTGGGTTGGGGTTGAGAGACCATTCCTAACGGTTTTTTCTGTTTAGAAGGATGGGGAAATAGACCTTGATAGTGTTTAGACTTCTGAAGAGAAACATACTATGAAATAGGATAAGTTAGGTGCAAATACTACTACTACTACTACTAAAAATTATAAGGAAAACAGCTCCACCTATTAACTTGCTGCTTTTCTCTTTAATTATAGAGGTAAATCAGTAATTGAGTAGTAGATTCTTTTATTTGAATTAGAAATACCATAAAATGTCACTAGTCCATCTATGCCTGTGGCAAATGAAGTGAGTAAAACTAAATCTGTGCATTGTTTATTACCACATCCATGAGCGCATTTTCTTAAGCAGAAAATTCTCTATGACACAAGTTATAGAAAACTTTGTTTTGAAAATATGGATGCAGGAAAATTGGCCACAGTAGTTAGGTTGAATATACAGCACTTTATTAAAATGGTATACTAATCCATCTGTGTTGGGATGCTTTGTAGTTTATTGAATGGGGCTCTGTTGAGATGTTAATACATCCTGAGAACAAATTGCTTTGAGAACTCCCATCTTTGAAGGGTATACGATATACATTGTCCCTTGTAAAAGTTTAGTTACCCTAAAACATGGTAGAGTTAGGGTATTGGGTTTTGGTCTTAGCCCAGCTCTTCATTATCCTTTTGACATGGAATTTTTTCTAGAATGTCATGTAAATGTCACTCAACCAATTGTAAATGCAGTACAGCTATTCATACATGGTTATGAAAACAAAAAAATAATAGCTACAGTCTTCTAGGGGCTGAATAAGTCTCTTTAGGTAATAATGCAGATAGGTTGCCATTCATAGAAATAGGATTTATTGCTAGAGCTAAGTAACACTACAAAGGAGCAACTGAGGCTGATTAATCAGTTAAAACTGTTGTCATAGTTTCATATCTGAGAAGTGAAATTCATAAGTTGAACTGCAACAGTGTGGCTCAGGTACTGTTTGTTTTATGTAGAAAACTTTGAAATTGTGAATCATCTTAATTTAGATCAAGGTATGATTTTTGAGTTGCTAGAAATTGTTTGCCGCCTTGCATCAATCTTTTTGATTCTAATTATTTATTACTGAATTTCAGCAATATTTTTGGGTTCTTTCCGTTTGCCTTATGAAGAAATAAAAAATATCATTTTAGAGGTTGATGAAGAGAAGCTGAGTGAATCCTTGATTCAGGTATGTAAAAATGTTTCTGGCTTTGTTCGTAGTTTGTTTTTCACATAAAAATGCAGTGAAGGTATAAGAATTCAAATGTAAGAATGGTGTAGAGTTTTCTGGATGTCAGCTACAAATGTATTGGTTGTGTTTACCTTTTTTTTTTAAATTTCACTTCTACTTTTGAATATGATCGCAAAACTGTTTTTAAAAGACACTGTTAACAAAAGTACTTCTAAATCTCTATGAAGTTTCCCTTTGTGGAGGAAATATCAGATAATTCTAGCTGTTCAGTTTTGAAGGCAAGCATTTACCAGGTTAAGGCTAGTGGGTAATGAAGTTTCATCAGTCATCTTGTGGAAACAACTCAGATTGTCACTAGTGATAGATGAAACTACCTGAATATTTCAGGATACTGCTACAACCCAAAAAAACATTTGTAAAATAAACCTGCTTGCAAGCTGGTTTGGTCTTATTTTGAACCTAAAATCCCTCAGCTGGAGAAAAGAAAGTATGGAGTACAGCTTCTTTACATCCCTCTCCGATTTCTTCATAGTAGGAGGAGAGCAAGTGTGTACACTGTTCCTCATGATCTTTGGGCAGTGAGAGAGTGCAGCAGAGAAACATGTAAACCTGACATGGTATGCAGATGTAGCACAACAGCAATACTGGTGTTGAATTGGTTTATTTTAATACCATACACAGATTCACATTCTAGCTAACATACTGGGCCTCTATTTACCCTTTCCTCCTTCCCTGTCTTTGGCCTGAGTAAGACTGTCTTCTCACAAAAAACATAAGCACATGATTGGAAATAAGTAAGAAGTCTTAAGTTCATGTTCATTGATCAGGGATATCAGATCATTTGATTGAGAAGCCTACAGGATTAGTAAAATCAAAAATCAATAGGGAGGAAAAAACCCCACCTTGAATACCTCAAATGCGGAATAGTTTCATATTGGTATAATTATCTCTGTAACAAACGTAGAGATAGCTTGAGACCTGGATTAATAGAAATAGGATGTAATGTGTTATGGTGAAGTACAAGGTCATCATCTTACATGTTAATTGTAAAATGCTGGAAGCTAATGTAGTGGTTGCTTATCAGTTGGAAAGGATTGAGGAGAGGTACTAGAGAGTCTGTGCTCAACAGGACAAGTACAGCTGCCACTGCGGTGTAGCTGTTTGTTTGTGGAGCAGCTAAGCCCTCACCCGGTCCCAACCACTTGCCCACAGGTGCAGATTGCCCACTCTGGCCACTTGCAGAATGAGAAACAGAAGACCTTTAAGCTGCACAAGCACTGTTACTAAAACACCGGTGTGTTACCAACAGTGTTTTGGTCACAAGTCAAAACAGCACCATATGGGCTGCTGTGAAGAAAATTAACTTCATCCCAGCCAGAGCCGGTACACTATAAAAAAGGCAAATGTGATTGCAGGGTGTATCAGATAAGTATTTCCAGTAGAGAGGATAATTATTATGCTTTTGAATAATGCAATTCTAAGACCTTATCTAAGATACTTGGTACATTTCTCAAAAATGAATTTAAAATGGAGAAGCCGAACTTAAAAACTACTTACAGTGATTGAGGGATGGAGAAACAGTCTACAGAAGGAGGCTAGAAAAGATTGGCTTGATTAGATTAGGAATATAAATAGCTGAGAGGGAATATGACTACATTATAACTATATGGGGAGAAGAGTGATGTGCATTGGGGAGAAAAATGAAGTTGCATAAGTAAAAGGCAATGTTAGCACCAGAATAAATGTATATGAATTTATCGTGAATGCAATATCAAGAAACTGAGGTGCCTATAATCATCAAAAAAATGAGGATATAGAGATTGGCCCACTTCTTCAAGGAACGGTGTGATATAGTTGCTTCTAGTAGCGGGGAGACTTAGCTGGTAACACGGAAGAGATTCCTTCTGTGTTTCTAAAGATATTCTTAGAACTGTGCTGGGGTAAATGGGCTGTATCATCTATTTTGTGTTCATTCTGTTCTGGTTTATTTTTATTCTAATCTTCTGACTGAGTTATTAACTAATTTACTAGTTTAACAGTTTTCAATACTACTGTTTGGAAAAAATTTACAAAGCAAACCTTGCTTTCTTTCATGCTTAGAAAAACTTGTACTTTATAAAAATGCACATGTGGAAACTGCTTTGTTCTAAGTATCAAAGTGGTGAAAGCCAAATGGGTATAGCATAACTGAGCGTATAGGAAAAGTGCTTTTTCAGTTATGCTTCTCAAGTCCTTGTTTCTTGCTGCTTTTCAAACTTATGTTGTGATACTTATTAAAATTAATTGGATTAATCAGTTTGAGTACATGGTAGACTCTATACTGTTGTAACTCTTCCATGAGAAAAACACGGTAGGAAAAAAATATTCTCAAATCCCAGTGTGTCTTTGAGATAAAGTTCTTGTAAACATACAGTTGTCAAACATCATGTTTAGCAGAATTCAGGGTATTGTGACAGAGAGTAGTGAGTGATAGTTTCAGCCTCTTAATGTCAGCCTTAGATTTCTACTACTTCTTGTGTTTATGTAAACCATTTTTATTTTTATTTAAACCCACATCATCATGAATACATTATGAACCTCTGTTTCCTAAAGTACAGACAAGGATTGGAGTATGTCATCACTGCATGCTTTAGAGCTTCGTTTTCAGTTATTCAATACAGTTAATGAAAGTAAACATATTCAAACATATATTTAGGGTGCTGCAGTGCTAGTAGAGCCAAACTCTCTGTAGAAGCTGACAGTAAAATGAGTTGGTCTGTTAGCTCTAGACCATAAAGGAGTGTGGATGAAGAAAAAGTAATGATCAAGCATGCTAACAGATTTTGGTGGCATGGCTAAAAAAAAAAAAAAAAAAAGGCAGTTTTAGTAGTAGGTACTTGTATTTTTACATTGATGGAAAAATAATGTTTTGTAGTAAGTTTATTAATGTGTAATGAAATACACATTTCTTACAAATGCTGTTAAATAATTAATGACAGCATTTGGTAAATAGTCTACCTAATGAAAATAGGTTAAAAAAAATACAATATTTAGTTAGTTCATGTCTTTGATCTTTACCAGGATTAAACAGTCAATTAAATGAGCAAGAATGTTTTACAGATACTTAATATTTGTTTAAGTAGAAATTTGTGGGACATGGTTTTGGGTTAATAGGAAAGGAGGCATGCTTAAGTTTAAACATGATGCCATAGCTTAATTGTATGATATCCAGGTGAATCTGATGCTTATTTCTGTCAAGTATATTGAACTCTGAATGCTCAGACACTCGGTAGCTCCAGGGTGTAAGTGTAAAAAGTCTTTCTGTAACAGGGACGCTTGTATGAGACTGCTTGTCATCATTATTTTTCCTTATTAAGATGGGTGAATGTTTGATTCTTTCAGTTCGGAGAATTAAGTTAGCTATCACTTGCAAATTTGACAAATTAGACTGGTGCCTTTCTGAAAGTTGTACCTTAATGCCTACTTCATCAAGCCTGGCAGAGTGATAAGTAATGAAATTCTCCTAACAAATAACAGTATTGCAAGACTGATGGCAAGATTAATATGTTCTAAAAATAAGATGTGTGTACCTCTAATAATACAGGCCTTTTCCAATTAAGATTTTTATATCTGGGGGAAAAAAGCTTCTGTAGCGCTGGTTGCTTTTCTGCTTTTAAAAGGCACGTAACTTTTTTTCATATCAGAGTCTTTTTGTGACATAGACCTAAACAGTCGTTACCGGTTCTCTGATAGTGTCAATGTGCATGTCCCTTCTATTTTTTTCCTATCTTATGGGAACACGTGGCAATGCACCTTTTCTGGTAGGAGGAGAACTGATGTGCTAATAACCCAAAGAGCTTCAAGTTAAAGGAACATGTTCTGAAATGTTTTACTTCTATGACTAGTGTTGCAGAAATTATCAAAAGATTCAATTTTTTGTAGCTGTAACACATTACTGTATCTTTTCTAAAATCTGTGTAGTAATTAATGCTATAGAATTGCATATTCCATAGACACTTTGTTGGAAGTAAACCTCTAAACCTGACGGTGGTTCTACCATTTACTTAGGCAAGTTTCAGAGGGTGGCTTCATAAAATAGAAACTTCTTGTTGAAGAACATATGGACTTACCCCTTTTCTATTCAGTACCTTGGTACTCATTGTGTTTGTGTAGAAGAAAAAATTATTTCTGTGTGATGGCGTGTTTTTTCTTAGTTATTTGGTACAGGAATCGTTGCACTGTGGAGCTGAGTGAATCTCATGTTGATTTTTGAAGTTACTAATAGCAGAAATGCACTACTTCTTTGGCCCCTGTATGCATAGTAAGCATCTATAAATCCCCTAGGTCACAGAAACAGATTGCATCCTTTTACTATGGGTTAGGCAATTGGGGCCCCCCCCCAAAAAAAAAAATCACCCTAAGGGCCACAGTGGGAAAGCAGGAGGGACGCTGTGTTCACCTAGGTCTGGAGGTATTTCTGCCTCTCTTCTATAGGTATATGTCTCCAATTAATTTCTTTTTGATTTCTTCAGTAGCTAGTACTTGCCCTCTGAAACCCCACAGGAACATGCTTGCCTCCAAGTTACTACAGTGTTTTGGAACCCGTATCCAGTATCTAAAATATTATGTCATTTTTGCTTCTTAATTTTCCTGTCACAATTCTTTAATATAAACAAATGTGGTTAGTGGAGATTGGAAATGAAATGAAGGGCACCCTCTGTGTGTGTGGAAAGTTGTAGTGTAATCATATCAATAATATTTTAATTCACTTTGGTTTTTTGATGTTAAGATTTATGAACCTTTTTGAACAAAAAAGGCCTATTGACTCTTGCTAGCTTGCTTGAATGTAAATGTCTACTATTTTTCCCTTGAAGAATTACTTTTTTGTTTTCAACTAACATATATATCAAAATTTAAATACAACCTAAACTTTTACTGAGTATTTCTTAAAGTATTCTTCAGCCTTAATATATATATTTTATACATTTAGCATATCTGTGTTTTGAGATGTCAAGATCATATAATTTCCTTTGGGGATATGGATAAGATTTCAAGCAAGTTCTACTTTTTGCTGAGTTCCATTATACTTGTCATCCAGAAGATCTGTACAATTTTGAGATGTTGCTCTTTTTTTGGTGTGTAAAGTGTTCTTAAGTGAAGTTTGTGCACAGCTGTTTTGAATGTCTTGCTTTACACAGATCAGTTAATTCTTAATTAATACTTAATGAGCAAGATGCAATCATGAGGGCTAAGAAAAGATTGTAGATAGAGTATAATTCTTCAGGGTCTGATAGCATCAAGGAGTGTTGTCTAACTTTTTAATACAGAGAAGGCATTCTTCAAATTAGAGACTGTAACAGAAGTGCTGATATCTGTATTAAATAATTACTGGTTTGATTTAATGTTTATATAGTGTTAAAGCTGCATAAATAAAATAAGCTTCCCATAATTTCCTCGTGCATTTCCATGTTGTGGTATTTTAAGCATGTTATTTTAAGATCTCAGCTAGTTTAATGTAACAAATTTAATATGATGCCTTGTTTGTTTTAGAACCTAGTGAAGAATCTTCCTGAGCAGAAAGAACTCAATGCCTTGGCCGAATTAAAGGATGAATATAATGATCTTGCTGAGCCAGAACAATTTGGAGTTGTGGTATGTATTAGTGCAATAATTAACTGGAGAGTTCTATTTTGTCAAATACGTTAAAAAGAAAAAATTTAGGTTTAAAATATTTTGGTTAATGTTTTTGCAAGTCCTGCAGTAGGAAAAGTTACCATCTATTTATTGATGAGTAATAATACAAAAATCTCTGAAAATACATATTAGGTGTTTTTCTGGAAGAATTATAGTGTGCAGTTAAGAGCAACAGGCAAACCAAATCTTTTGTCTGACTGTCTTGGCTTGTATGCAAGTCTTGTGTGTTTATTAAACAATTATGGAGAACACTGTAGGTTCAAGTAGTTACATTGCCAAGAAGTCATAAAAGACCCATTAAATCAATGGCATCGACAACTTTGATAAACTATTATGCTGTATCAAAACCTGTAAACAGCTGAAAGAGTTAATATACCCAAAATATCTCATGTCGTGTTTTACGCTTTCATTAAAAAAAAAAGTTTGTGTGTATATTTTATGTGTACATGTGTATATACGCATACATGTATGTATGCATATATACGTATAAAATGTGTATGTATATATACAAACACACAGAAACTTGCAAAACTGCTGTAGAAGAGGTGTGGATTCATATTAGAACTGAAATTATAGATCGTATTCTGTTGCTTTTACTAGTGTTCAATACATATAGCTATTCCAGAAGTTGGGATACTGAGTATTATAATGGCTAGAACCTGTCTCCAAATCAAATTATAGAATTTGCATAAGTTGCCCTAATATGTGCTGGTAGTTGATTGTCTGATGCAGAGTATTAAGCGAGGATGTGGAAGACTCTTTTTTCTGCTTCTGGTCTTCCAAATACCTGATAAGTCCTTAGGCAAATTAGTTCCTGTTTTCACTTTGTCAGTCTAAAAGATTATTCCGATGATGATAGCCTAATGTGTTTAGAATTCATCCCTAACTCCGCAGGAGCTAGGTTTGCTTTTGCTGGATTTTTATGGTGTTATGTACATTAAAATGTATTAAAAGAGAAATAGAGGTCTCTTGAAAGGAAAGAG